ACTTTCGTAAGAGATTATGAAAAATTATATGCCAACAAATTGGACAATGTAGAAGAAATGGATAAATTCCTAGAAACATATAGCCTTCCAAAACTGAATCAGGAAAGAAATAGAAAATTTGAACAGACCAATTACTAGCAATGAAATTGAATCAGTAATAAAAAAAAAAACACACACACACAACTCCCAAAAAATTTAAGTCCAGGACCAGATGGCTTTGTAGGTAAATTCTACCAAACATTTAAAGAAGAGTTAATACCTATTCTTCTCAAATTATTCCAAAAAAGAAGAAAAAGAAAAAAAAAAAAAAAACAGAAGGAAAGCTTCCAAATTCATTCTATGAGTCCAGTATTACCCTGATACCAAAACCAGAGGAAGGCACTACATGAAAAGAAAACTATAGGCCAGTATCTTTCATGAACATAGATGCAAAAATCCTCAACAAAATATTAGAAAACTGAATCCAACAATACGATAAAAATCATTCGCCATAATCAAGTGGGATTTATTCCAGGGATGAGAGGGTGGCTCAATATTCACAAATAAATCAACATGATACATCATATTAACAAGAGAAAAGACAAAAAACATATGATCATCTCAATAAAAGCAGAAAAAGCATTTGACAAAATCCAGTATCTGTCATGATAAAAACTCTCAACAAAGTGGGTTTAGGGGGAACATACCACAATATAATAAAGACCATATATGAAAAATTCACAGCTAGCATCACACCCCATGGTGAAAAACTGAGAGCTATTCCTCTAAGATCAGGAACAAGACAAGGATGTCCGCTCTCACCACTGTTATTCAACCTAGGAATCAAAGTCCTAGCCACAGCAATCAGACAATAGGATATAAAAGCCATCCAGATTGGTAAGGAAGAAGTAAAACTTTCACTATTTGCAGATGACATGATACTAAATATAGAAAATCCTCAAGACTCCACCAAAAACGGCTAGAACTGATAAATGAATTCAGTAAAATCACAGTATACAAAATATGCAGATATCAGTTGCATTTCTATTCACTAATAATGAGAGAGCAGAAAAAGAAATTAAACAATAATCTCATTTACAAGTGCACCAAAAAGAATAAAATACTCAGGAATAAATTTAACCAAGGAGGTAAAAGACCCATACTCCAAAAACTAAAGAACACTGATGAACCAAACTGAAGATGACACAAACAAATGGAAAGATACTCCATGCTCATGGCTTGGAAGAATCCATATTGTTAAAATGTCCATACTACCCAAAGCAATCTACAGATTCAATGCAATATGTATCAAAGTAACAACAGCATTTTTCACAGAACCTGTGGCTTCTTTCTGCTCTTAGGATAAAAGCCCAAATCCAGTAAATGGTCTGCAAGGTCCTGCATTGTCTGTCTCCAATACATCTCTAGTCTCATCTTATTCCATGCTTCCCCTCACTCTACACTTCATCTACAGTGACCTTCTCTCATTTTCTAGAACATTCCATGCTCCCCTCCATCACAGGGCTTTTGTGATGCTCTTCTCATTTTCTGGAATACTTTTTTCTCCCATGTGGTAGCCCTAATAATGTTGTCCCTACCATGTCCATGACCTAATTCCTGGAATTTTTTAGTATATTACCTAACATGCCCAAAGGGATATTGTGGATTTGACTAAGGATCTTGAGATTGGAAGGTTATCCTGGAATAACCAGGTGAGCCTAATGAACTCACAAGGGTCCTTATGAGAAGAAGGTAGGAGAGTCTGTGAGAGGAGATGTGACAATGTAAGCAGGAGGTCAGAGTCACAGAGGGATCTGCAGATGAAGAAGGGGCACTGATGAATGTAGCCAGCCTCTGGAAGCTGGAAAAGGAAAGAAGCAGACTATCCCCTAAAGCTTCAGAAGGAACACAACCTAGTCAACACATTGATTTTAGGGCTTCTGGCCACCAAAACTAGAAGATAATAAACTTATGCTGTTTTAGGTCACCAGGTTTGTGGTAATTTTTACAGCAGAATTAAGCAACTCATACACCCACCTTCACCAGTAACTACATAGTTCACTGATCTCACATCTAATCCATTTTTAAGACTTCCTTAAAATCCTTAATTGAGGCAAATGCCCCTTTTATATATTATCAAGGCATCCTTTGGATCACCAATTAAGGTTGTAGCTGTACAATTATTTACATAATTAATTCTTAAACTCATGCATTCTCCTTTACTAGATTGAAGCTCCACAACACAAGGGACCACATCTAATTTTGTGTACCAAAGTACCCAGCAAAGTACCCAGCACATAACAGGTGCTCATGGATTTTCTTTCACTTGAGCACAAAAAACAACCTGCTGTCCTCTACCAATCAGTAATGCCATTTTGGTAGGTAACCTGTGGAGGGTCTTTCTTTAGCCATCTTGCTCAGCACTAAATGGCCCCTGAATCTGAGGAGCTGTGAGTTTCTTCAACTCAAAGAAATTTTCTTCTATTATATATTTGGTTATTTCCTCTCTTCGCTCCCTTCACTCTCCTTCTGAAATTTCTATTAGACAGATGTTAAAATCTTGGTCTACCCCAATTCTTTGTGCCCTCTATGCAGCATTCCAGAAGAACTACACAGCTCAATCTTTCAGATTGCTAATCTGATCTTCAGCTGTCTCTACTCTGCTTATTAGTACATCTATATGGAAATTTTAAATATAATCAATGAAATTAGAATACAGAGATATCCAATTGATCCTTTATGAACTGGCCTCTCATCCCTCTAAAATATATTGATTATGTGTAATTTCTAAATTATATTCTGCTTGCTCTGCAAATTCAATTTCCTTGAGTATTAAGTCATCCACAATGTGGGTTTCCTTATTTTGTAACCCTCATTGTACAATATGCCCTCTTACTCATCTGTAGTTGCTGTATCTATTTATTGCAACCTGCAAATTCCGTGGAAGGATCTAGGTATGGTGTGGGTAGGATGGGCTGGCAGTTTTTTGTTCTTCACAAAGGAATTCAAGCCCCTCTTTAGACAGTAGATGCTGGAACACATTCTCCCTCTTTAGTCTTAGGAAGACTTAACTGGTCTGAGTGCTGTTCCTTATTTAATCAGCCTGACCACTGAAGAACAGAATTTTTAGCAAGAAACAGTTTTTCTTTGATGTAAAAAACAGAAGGGACACCCGGGTGCTCAGTTGGTTAAGTGTCTGCCTTTGGCTCAGGTCATGATCCCAGGGTTTTGGGATTGAGCGAGCCCTGCATCAAGCTCCCTGCTCAGCGGGAGTCTGCTTTTCCTTCTGCCCTTCCCCTTGCTTGTGATCTCATTCTCTCTCTCTCAAATAAATAAAATCTTAAAAACAACAACAAAAAACAAAAAACAAACAAAAAAACCACCAGAAGTTCTTAATATAAAGTCCCTAAAAAGATTTTAGAGTTCCACAAAATCCCAGAAATTATATACAGAATTACTTTTTCTATGTGCATTTTTCTAAATAGAAAGTTTATAGCTTTCCTAGGATAGCCAAAGGGTTCTTTGACTCTAAAAATGTTTAAGAACCATTGCTTAAGGATTTAGGAAGGTGATTTTAATGTAAATCTGAGGGTTTTCTTGGTTTTTTTTTTTTTCCCTCAAGATTTCTGCTTTTTCTAACTCTCAAAAATAGTGCCAGCTTAGTAACAATGTTAACTAGTGGAAATCTGGTTGACCAAGATTTCATTATATTTATGATAAAGTCAAACAAATGGGATGGAAAGTAAGTATCTTCAAAAGGGTAAGAGAATGTCACATTCACAAAATAACAAGGAGCTACTACAGGAGAACCTATTAGATGTTGTGAGAAGTTTTAAATGACTTTAAAAATACTTGTACTTTCTTTTCATTTGATATTCTTATTAATGACGACATCATCTACACCAACACGTACTAAATGACTGAGACATCCTACCCACTATAATGATTATTAAAGGGAGATATATAATACCAACTTCAGAAATAATTAATGATCAGTGTTCTAAAGAAAATAATTTAGAGTACACCACACATCTTGTTAGTCTTTGTACATCCAGCACCTACTGAATAAATATTTATTGAATCAATAAGGAAATGGAAGAATGAGTTAGTCTGAACATGATATTTTAAGAATTATCACTTCCTTAGGAAGGCAGTGTGCAATTTTAAATGATTCATAAAGTAGAAAAACGGCAGAACTAAAAAAAGACAAATATAAAAGCTTATGCTAATAGATCAAATAGTATGAGAAAATACAGCACACAAAGTAAAATACCTAAGAATCCTACTGAATCAAAAGTAGATTAAATCAGTCTTTTCAAAAACATTATCACAAAGATGAATTTCAGTATCTATCAAGTAATGGTTTTAACAAAAGACAAAAGACTTACTAGGGGAGCAAAATCATATTTTGCTATCTACATTTTAAAATCTCCAAAGAAAAGATTAACAAAGTCAAAATAGAGGAATAAAAATCATGAAAGAACAGTAAGTAGGGCCCACAAGGAAAATTCAAGCTCTGGCAGTTCTAACAGAAGGAAAAAAAATATGCGATAAACTATCTTTTCACTATATGAGGAAAAAAAAGCAACCCAAAGTATTTCTATTATTGCCTGAAAGGTTAAATGAAAGTGATTATATGCCTTCCAGCTCTCTAAGGAAAAGCAGGGGCAAACAAAAGAAAACCTCTCTTGATGAGACTGTGAGAACTATTAATGTTGAAAGAATACACAAGAAAAAAAAGTCATCTCAAATTTTTAAAACAGAGAAATTAAAAAGGTTTAAACATTTTTCTGCCCGGAGATGGGGCTTACACCAGATTTCTCATGACCCTTTTCAGCTCTATACTCTGATCTATGGAGAAAAATAGATAACTCCTTTCAACGTAAACGAGTCCTAAGTTATTATGCAGAGAGAAGGAATTTTTCTTCTTTGACCTGCCAGGCTTCTAATGGTCAATGTTATACTCCAAGATCCAATTAAGACCAGCAGTACAACCACAGTAAGAAACAAAATAAACATACCTCCTGTTCTTCCATTACCAATCTGCAGAGCAGGCTGAAGGCTTCTTTCATTTTGCAATAAATGAGGCAAATGATAATAAATACTTGGCACTTGAAGAGATTTTTTGCTTGTTAACTCCTTTAATAGCTTTAGGGTATTATCTAAAACAGAAAAGCATAATTAATGCACAGGAGTGCCTTACTTACAGAAGTTGCTAATTTTACAAATATAGCCGTAAAAATTTATGAGAACTAGAACTTTCCCGATTTCATACTTTGGTGAATAAGATCTCCATTAAAAATGAAAAAGGACACTTCTGCAACCAGAGTCTCAGAGTCCCAATGTTGACAGCACTCTGAAGAAGCTGAAGTACCCTGAGAAGGCAGAATGCTTTCATCACTTGCCGTTACAAAGGTTCGGAATTCAGGCCCTGCGGAACACACTCTAAACATCCTACCCATTTATGAAAATATAATAAGCACATTCACCACCAATAACTTTCACTTTCCTTATGCTATTCTATTTTACTGAATTTTCACATGGAAGATTTTTTTTTTTTCAAAAAAATACAAGTACAATAATTTAAACTGCACAATTTGAGAATGCTCCATACAGATCCTAACTTTCAAATAGTTTTTCCATTTTCCTTAGAGGAGTTAATGAATCCTTTAATATAATATGAAATAAGAACTCAATCTAGTAGGCAGTATTGTTTTAAAGTTCCAACTATATTATAATTTAACCTTTAAAATACAGAAGTTAGCAGTAAGGACTTAAAGCCTCGAAGATTTCATGCAGAACTATATGAAAACTCCATTAAAAATATGACAAGAACCAAAAAATACACAAAAGAAATGCAAATGACTGCTATATTGACATTTAATCTCATAAGAAACAATTATAAATTACAAGACACCAATTTCAACCTATCAACTTAGCGTAAGATTAAATAATAATATTAAATATTGGTGATAATGTGGTATATGTTTCAGCTATTCAGAATAGCACTGAAAACCCTAAAACATGTCTGCCTTACTAGTCAATAATTTCCCTTTTAGCAATTTTACTTTTATACACTCAATAAATATTTAGTGATTATCTATTTTGTCCCAGCCACTGTGTCATGTGTTTAGAAATGTTAGTCATAGATCCTTGTTTTTAAGGAAGTCATAATGTAACAAAATAACATAAGGGCTACCAGAAATGTGACCAATTTATACACGAAGACGTTCATCGCAGAGTTATAAACTGGGGAGAAAAAACAACACAGAAAAATCCTATTTTCCTAATAGTAGAAAAATATTTAATACATTATGGTATATGGTTAGCTGATATATGGCCATGGAAAATGGCATTTTTGAAGAATATTCAATGACACAGTGAAACGCTAATAGCCTAATTTCAAAAGTAAAATTGAGGCTCTAACACACAATCACAATTTTGAAGAAAAACATAAATGGAAAAAAGACTAGAAGGAAATAAAAACTGTTAATAAAAAACACTTGGCAGAGCAGGCTTATGGGTGGTTTATTTTTTATTATCTATACCATTCCATAATTTTAAATGTTACTGTGTCATAACACACATTTCACAATTAGAAGGGGAAACATGGAGCATGAAAACTTAAAAATAAGGTCAGGTAGTGAATCTAAGACAAGAGGAATGAATGATAAAGGATGGAAAAAGATGGTGCTAAATGAAAAAGTATATTAATCTTGAAAGATTACATAAATTTTGAGGTAACTGATTATATACATATGTTAATTTAGTTATTAGACTAAGAAAATCACAGAAACAGGCTAATTGACATTCATCTTACTCTAACCCCAAGTTCTTAGAGAAGGAACAGATCAGATACCCCCAAAAGTACACACTGTAATAAAACCATATTTTTTTCTTATAAGTCAGAGAGAAGAGTACTAATTGCTTCAAATAGCTCAAAGATTCTCCAGAGTCGATCTAAGGTCCATACGAGTCACAACATAAACATGTAAAAACACAAAATTAAATTTTTAATCTCATTTGGAATATGCTTTTTAAAAGATCTGGCTTGGGGCGCCTGGGTGGCTCAGTCGTTAAGCGTCTGCCTTCAGCTCAGGTCATGATCCCAGGGTCCTGGGATCGAGTCCCATGTGGGGTTCCCTGCTCGGCGGGGAGCCTGCTTCTCCCTCTCCCATTCGCCCCTGCTTGTGTTCCCTCTCTCACTCTCTGTCAAATAAATAAAAAATAATAATAATAAAAAAATAAAAGATCTGGCTTTTTGCTATTGGGGAAATTTATCCAACTGAAATCTAAATCAGTATTACACTACTCCCTCAAAATCAAATGTAACAATTAATTAAAATTGTTTTATAATTTACCATTATAGGAAAGTTTTGTGTGATGTTTCTCTCTGAAAACAGTAATAAATGCTGGCTGATAAGCTACTTTAAACGACTTTCAAACAAATTACTTCACATAACCCCTTGAAAATACAATTTTTAAACTAAAAATATCATTTGTACCTGAAAATTTATTTAATGCATCCTTACTTCCATTTGCTTCTGCTCCTACACGCTTGAACTGTTGTACAATGGCGTTTAATTCAGAAGAGCGCTGAGAGATTCTATGTTCAGCTATTCGAAGACGTTCTTTCAAGGCAAGAAACTCTCGTTGATAAGCAATCAGTTTTTCTAGAAGCAAAACCAAAAGTTTTTAATATATTTAAAAAAAACATAAAACATAACTGTAAGATCAGAAATTTTAAAGTCACATTTTCCAGAAAAAGATATTCACTTATGTATTGATACAGAACTGAAAATAAAAAAGAGTCCCAACCAGTTATATATAACAAAGCCTCCACTAACGTAATGCTCCTTTTTGTTTTAGCGTTAGAAAGCAATTTATTTATTTTTTCCTGAGACTTTCTTTAAATTTCTTTTAATTTAAATCCAAGTTAGAAAACATATAGTGTTTTATTAGTTTCAGGGGTAGAATTTGTTGATTCATCAGTTGCATATAACACCCAGTGCTCATTCCATCACGTGCCCTCCTTAATGCCTGTCACCCAGTTACCTAGTCCCCCACGCACCTCCCCTCCAGCAACCCTCAGTTTGCTTCCTATAGTTAAGAGTCTCTTATGGTTTGTCTCCCTCTCTGTTTTTATCTTATTTTTCCTTCCCTTCCCCTATGTGCATCTGTTGCTTTTAATATCTGTAAGAATGCAAGCACTTTCTACTTATCACTTAAGAAATGTAAAGATAGGGAGAAAAGGAAAAAAGTTTTTAGAATTAACACTTCAAGCATAATACTAACATCATTTCTCAAAAGGTTCAAACAATTATAAAGACCTTATCTGTATTAAGAAGACAGAGAGATGAAGTATTGAAACTTATGGTAATATATCTAATATTAAATTACCTCTCTTATAGCATAATTATTTATTTCCATAGGCCATTTCCTTTGTACTTCCTATTCTGCAAAGATTTCACTAGGCCAGACTTTGGCCAAATTCCTGATTCCTAAAAACCCTATCAGGCAGATGTAAAAAAAAAAAAAAAAGTGGGATGACCCCAGTTAAAAGACATCTGTTTTAATTTGAGAGAATCACAGGTCAGGAAATCCTGGTCTAGGAAATAAAAGTGGATTTTATGAGGATAAATGTAGGCATTGAAACCACAGTATCAGACAGCTCAGAGAAACAAAGTGCAGAGTGAGGAGAGGCCTAAGGACAGAACCTGACATCAAAATCTAAGAGATGGTGGAAGAAAAAGCATTCATTAATCCCGATCAGCAATGCTGAAAGATAGCTGAGGCTATGGGAATAGTAGGAGTAATTTCCACAACCTCATTAAACTAAGAGAAACCCAAACAATGGTTTTCAACTTCTGTATCAAGCTGGATAATCCAAGGCTACTATTTTGACATCTAAACAAAACACACTTTAGAAAGACTACTTTTTATCTAATATTATTATCTCTGCTTTATTCAAGGATAGACTCAATAAGAAACACTTACAAAAAATAAATCTGCATGTTTCATAAAGCTAGTCTTAAAAACAGGCATTTATGTTGTTCCTTGTCCCTTACACAAAAGCCCACACAGTAAACATCTCTTCAGAATTTTGTGGCAGGGGAAAAAAAAAAGTCTGTCCTGCTCAACTGTCATTCTTCCCTATATTGAACAAGGACAGCCATGTAAGCAGCTATATTCTGCCTTCACTTGCTGGCTGTAGGAGGGAAGGAAAGAGAAAGCAGGCTGTGATTAGGTTAGGCATATAGGGAGCTCTGAGGTGCCAGCAAGGTCCTAATGACGAACCTGGGTGGTGGTCCAATAAAATTCATTATTATGCATTCATAGTTCAGGCACTTGTCCATACGCATAAACTCATTAAATAAATGTCAAAAAGATACTATTCACAAACACAAAACTATAAATAAGCATAGTCTAACAAAAACTATAACAATTATAACAAGAGATACTCAAGATTCATGCGATAAAACTACAAACCCCTTACTGACTCCTATATTAAGAGTAAATGAAGTCACCTCTTAATCCTAAGTGAGAAGACTCAAATTTGTAAAAAAAAAAAAAAAAAAAAGATAAATTCTACCCTAAGTTAAATAATTAATTCAATTCAATACCTTTCAAAAAAAATAATGAAACTTTTTTGGAATATGACTTTTTACATGTGATTCTAAAATTCACCTAGAGGAGAGAATGTTTAAAAAGGAAAAAAAAAATAATAATAAAGGGGAACTTGCTCTGAGATCAGAACACACTAGAAGGCTATAGAAATTAAACAGTGTAGACAAGAGCCAATTACACCAAGCAGGCTGCATCCAAAATCAGCACGAGTGAACGGTCCCTTCAGTTCTTCCCTCTTTATGTGAGCAAGTTAAAATCCTCTCCTGAATACTCATGCAGTGCTGAGATTGTGGTTTCTTGACACCATCCACCCAAAAGAGATTTAGAACTCTCTGGAGAATAAGTTTAAGATGAACCTCAAACAATCTGGTGTAAAGTAAGAAAACGCTATTTAAAAAAAACAAACAAACAAAAACAAAAACCATAGGACTTGTCGAAAGGGCACAGCAAGGTACCTAAGGGGCTCCCGACCAAATTAGGGACACATTTAAGTACAAAACAAATATTGATAATAACAGATGAAGGTGATGGGTTTCTTATAGCAGAGTGCCAAATAATAAATGTAGAAGGAATGATGAATGTTGGGAAGAAATCACCATTTTGCAGCTATCACAGCAATAACTGATTCAGGCAAGAATCAAAAATGGATGCTAAGACTAGCAGGTCAAAGTGTGCTGAGGAACGGGGTATGTATGTCACTTCAGAGTATCTCCCTACAAAGTACTCACTAACTTACAAAGGAAAAAAATATGCTAATTTTACCATGGAGAAACCTGGCAGGTATCTTCCTTAAGTGATCAAAGTTCACATCAGCAACCAGAAAACAGACACGACATGCCTCCTGATGTGAGGCACAGAGGACATGTCTCATTTGTGTGTCATTCCTGCCAAAAATGCATAATCTAAATCTAATCTCAAGGAAACATCAGACGCATCCAAACTGAGAGACAAGGTACAAAACAAAAAGCTTGTACTGTAAAAAAATGTCAAGGTCATTGAAGACAAAGGCTTATGAGGAACTGCCACAGATAAAGAGACTGAAGGAGCCATGACAACTCAATGCAAAGCATGGTCCTGGGCTGAAACCTGGACCAGAAAAACTCAACGCTACAAAGAACATTACTGGGAAAAAAAAATAACAGAATATAGGCTACAGACTAGATATTATGCCAGTGTTAAATTTCCTAAATTTGATACTCATACTTAAGTACTTTAGCAGAATTCCTTGTTCCTAGGAAATAAAGATTAAATTAGTCAGGGGTAAAAAGGCATGATTTCTGTAATTTATATCCAAATAGTTCTGAAAAGAAACAAATTATCTACAAATAGAAAGATTATAGAGGCAAAACAGTCACAACAGGTGAAATGTATCAAAAAGTCATTTTGTACTGCCCTTGTAACTCTTCTTCATTTGAAATTTTTTGTAAAAAACAAGTTTTTAAAAAGTAAGCTGGAGGGCACCTGGGTGGCTCAGTTGGTTAAGCGACTGCCTTCGGCTCAGGTCATGATCCTGGAGTCCCGGGATCGAGTCCCACATCGGGCTCCCTGATCAGCGGGGAGTCTGCTTCTCCCTCTGACCCTCTTCCCTCTCGTGTTCTCTGTCTCTCATTCTCTCATTCTCTCTCTCAAATAAATAAAATCTTTAAAAAAAAAAAAGTAAGCTGGAAGACTGGATGGTATACAGGTTAGGTCTTTTAGCAGTTCTTGATCGGGAAGGCGGGAATGGACATGAGGGCGGTCTCTGTCCTTCTGTACATTTTCTTGGTACTTTTTGAAACTACTTCCCAGAGGCCAGTTTCACCAAGTAGGGAGAGCAACTAGTACTAGCAGAGAAATGTCCCCACCCCTAATTCCAAAACACTGCCCTGCTTTGAGGTGACCTGGCCAGGCTTCTGAAAAGATCCCTTGGGCCCACAGAGTGCTAGATAAAGTCCTATGTATTTTCTTTCAGCCCAGATGCTAGTGTTGCTGTTAGCCCAAGGCCCACAGCTATGAAAGGGCTCCAAATGGGTTATTTCCCATCTCTCACAGCCATCCTTGGTTTCTAACTCCATCTTTCCATATTAAAAGGGTTCTCTCCATGACATCCGAGCAAGTCCATACTCCATCTAGAAAGCCATGTCAATGAAAAAGAGTATGTGTGGTAAAGCCCTCAGCTAGACCTGCTAGGAGTACCACAGAACGCTGTTGGCTCCGCTCAACAGAAAAGAGTTACATATAATCTCCCCACAGCCCTCCTAGGAGTGCAGTCCATCCTCCGTCATCTACCCAAACACAGGCTCACTAGTGACTTCTAGAATTTTCTCTACCTATATTTCCCATAGTATTACACTGCTCCCTTGAGGAGAGTGATAGGTCATCCCAGAAGTTCAAACTTTAGCATAACAGACAAAAAAAATTCCTTCAAATTAGTGATCACGTGTTTGACAATTCTCTGTTCTCAACATTAGTAACACAATTCTTATTTTTGCTTTTCTTTAATCATTTCAATCAGTTTCTGTTGGGGGATTGGCAGGAAACTGTGTGGGAACTCTTATACTATCATCTTACTGGGAAATGCCTAGTTTTGTTTGTTTTTTTTTTATTGTAGACCGAATCTAACTTTTTTTAATCGCAGAAAATTATATATCCAGATGAGACAATGAAAGTACAAATCAGGTTGCGTGAACCCAAGACTCTAAAACATACAAAATTTCCAAAGAAACCACTTTATTTCCCTCAAACAAATAATCAAGCCAGTTTTCCACGGGAAAGTGTACCTATAGGTCCTCAAAGACTTATTAGGTTGAACCAGATGAAATTGCTGATATTTGATCATTTTTGACAAAAATGTCAATTTCATGTGGTTCAACAATTTAAAAATAACAGCTTTGGACTCAACAATTTAATTTAAAAATGTGTGAACAATATAGATGAAAAATTAACACAAACGAAAAGGTACTAAAAGCTAATACCCAATATGTAATATATAAAAAACAGAGCAAAAACCTTCACTTTTCAAATAGTATCTCTTTATTAGCAAGATGTGGGGATACTATGGAATTCT